AATATTTCATTTAAGAAGAGAAATTGAAAATACTTGCAACACCTGCTTCCAGCATGAACAAATAAAAATATCTTGGATTGTTTAATGACTCACAATTTTCATTTTATTGAAAAAATGTGTATGAAGTCAAACTAATACATCCAACTGTGTGAATTTCATTAAAAATAAAGATGAATGTCACGGCGGCGATGACGTGTGTGGCGTTTATTTACATAGTGGCAGTGGCAAAAACAGGAAGCTCTTATTTTTTTCTTCTCTCCGCGGAGCATCGGCCGCATCGCATCTGTTACTGTAGACAGTGATAGGGGTGTCACTGATCACCGATGAGGACCAGTCGCCGCTGCCTCCCATGCTTGTGGCGTCGGGAGAGCAGATCTCTTCCCCGTCCAAGTACAGAGGAACGCAGGGTTGCAGAGTGAAAGTTTCCATCTTGTCTTTGCATAGAAAAGTGTGTGCTGGCCCCTCTGTTTTTATTGTTCTCCCTCCACAGACCCCCCTCCCTCTAAGGGAGAAAACATAATTTGTTTTCCCACCGGATGCGATTAGTCACACATATGAGTAGTAATACGATGGCACTAGTTCAATATGGCGGCCAACCAAACCGGTGTTGTGCCAAAAAGTGATTGTCTGCCAAAAACTGATTTCCAAAGTTTCTGTGTATTTTTCATGTGTAATATCTTTACGTATGTTCGTAAATAGACTTCAGTGAACAGGGTTTACAAAGGGGTTATATAGAGAATTAAAAAATTATCCGTTTTTAAAGTATCTTTACAACTCTGTGTTATTGTACTTACATTATAACCAATCCGGTCCTTTATCCCCACTTAAAATATTTTTACAGAACTATTGTAATATTTGCTGCTATTTCTGCTGTCCTCTTGGCCAACTTACTCTTACAAAAGACATTTTTCATATTAATGAGATTTTTTTAAGTGCATAAATAAAGGTTATATAAAAGTCACTGCCAAAAACTGATTGCGCCTTCTACCTTGTTACACGAATGTTGTTTGTGGTTCAAGATGACTTTATGTCATCCATAAGGGATGCATTTGACATATGTTTCATATATTATAGCCCAACAAGTTATAGCAGTTTAAATACGAGCAATCAATTTTTGGCAAATACCGGAAATCAGTTTTTGGCAGACAATCACTTTTTGGCACAACACCAGATTGACAACCTGTTTGACCGGTTTCGTGCATGTGCGCATGCACGTTCAGGTGTGCTCGGGGTATGCGAGTTCACGTGTGGAAACACACAGGGCGTCAGAGAGGTTATATGAGTTTATGTGTTTTTAACTGGGTTTTAATTTAAACAAACCATAGGGTTTTTAATTAAACTATTTTATCGCTTTGGCATGCCTCCACATTCAGTTATGCAGACATAGGTGTTCTTAAGAGCAATTCTTTGTTTTTGCGTGGAGGGGTGGAAGCCGTTTTGCTTCACAGTGCGCATCAACAAAGCTGGAATGCTTTTTATTTACATCTAGTCAAAAGTGTTGGTAACAGTGTTTTAATCACACTAATTTTGTGATTCTGACAATATCTCAGCATGCAGCGATGCAAGCATTTTATTTTAAAAATGGCACAAATGGGAATTTCTTCTGAATGGGTAATGTCAGCCTGTTCACAAGCGTTTCATTTAATCAAACCCCTAGTTTTTTACGCATCTACTGGGGTTTCTTTCACGGGTTGATGTGATCATTTTATTTAAAAATTGGGATTTCGGAATGTTGAACTAAGAGGGAGACAGAGGCTGCTAGTTTTTTAACACAGTCAATGGTCACAAATAACATTCAGCCCTTTTGAAAATAAGCGCTATTGGGCTACTTCTAAAACACGTTGCACATGATGTCACCTTTTCCCCCAAAGCAGCCAGTATCGCTCTTTCAAACTAATTGTCTTTTAATCACACTCATTTTGTGATTCTGATGTCACAGCATGCAATGATGCAAGCATTTTATTTATTTAAAAACGGATCAAACGGGAATTTCTTCCGTAAGGGGTTTCATGGTTTTAGAGTAGTTTTTAACACAACAGATGGTCGCAAATAACATTCAGCTCTTTAGAAAATAAATGCTGCAGTGATACTTCTAAAACCAGTCGCACAGACCTGCTCCGTCTTTTCAACAGCCGGTTATTGTTTGAAATTGTTCAGAATTGCAAAAGCCCACCGCGGGTATCATTTAACTGTTGTGATTCCATAGGAAGACAAAAGATAGGTGGATCACTTAGTTGTTAAGAGTACCATGCGAACAAGGGCCCAACTATTGTTTAAAGTGGCCAGTATCAGCTCTTTTTGTAATTCCTCGAGAAGGTAAAAGCCCCGCAGATGTACCAGTCGAGCAGGGTCTCGCCTATTTTCTGAAGTAGCCAGCAACATGCCCAGCAGGTGTATTGCCCCCAGACTTATCGGCCCCCCCCATCTATTGTTTTTGGAAGCACCCGGTCCTATATGAAGCGTTCCTCAGAGCGTGAGACCCTCGCCATTTCGCGTCAGGACCAGCGCCGGTGCAGACCATTTTCTACCCACACAGAGCGTTTCTGACAGGCTGGCGTTGCTTATGCATAAGAGAAAAGCAACAATACAA